GAATTGGGAGAAACAGAACAAATAGAGGCATTTAATTCTATCCTCTGTCAGTGTATGGTGAGGGAGGGAAGGAGGGAAGATAAGTCTTGTTTTCTACTACACAATGTCCATGTTGTAGCTGAGGGGAGAATAGTTTAACCACAGTCATGAATTCAATTTGACTCAAAATTTGAGTGTCCACGTATTGTGCTTGGCGACAGACAAAAGTAAAAATGAAACAGTCCTTTTTCTCAAGGAAATTATATTTCTTTTTTGTGGGTGGGACAGAACATCAATAATTGAGGGAAGAGGAGACCCAGAAATGTTCTGAATAGAAGGTGACAACTGGCAATCTTCTTTTACCTTCAGTTCTGTTCAATTTGCTAAAATTTGGTTGAATGTATACTTAATAAAAGATTTTGCCTCATACAATAAGGACTAATAATGATGATGATGATGATGATAATAATAATAATAAAAAACATTTATATAGCACTTCAAAGTTTGCTTTACATATAATGCACATTTGATTCTCATAACAACCTTGGAGGAAGGTGCTGTTGTTATCCCCGTTTGACAGATGAAGAAACTGAGTCTGAAAGAAGCTAAGTGACTCGTCCAGAGTCACATAGCTAATAACTAAGGTAAAATTTGAAATCAGGTGTTTAAGTCCAGTGTTCTAAATACTACACCATCTCTCTGACTCATTTGTGGGAATTCACAATGCCTATTGAAGTAGGTTGCTTTCAATTCAACTATTCAATCCCTCAAATAAATAGAATCTTCCTGAAGTCTGCTCTAAGACTTGGGGCATACCATGTAGAGTGCTTTACTCTTTCTTCAGAAAACCCTGGCCCTCAGGTAGTCCCACTGCCCCCATTTTACAGATGAGGCAACAGGATGGAAAGGTAAAGAGACTTATTTAAAATTACATGACTAGGAAGTGTCTGAGCCAGGTCTTCTGACTCCAACTCTGCTGTTGCTTCCTCTAGGCTGTGACCCTCAAACAAACGACACCCTAGTTATAGGTCATATAAGCACTGAGCTGGAAGGTATCGTCCAACCCCCACTAGTTCAACACCCCTACCCCCCACTGATTTATTTCTATTTTTTATTTTTTACAAATGAGGAAGGAAACTGAGGCCCAGAGAGGTTAACCACAGCTAGCTAGTAGAGGAGATGGGGTGCTTGAGTTCTAGTGTCTTTTCCACTATACCACCTAATTCTTAGCTCCTTACACGAGAAAGGCAGTTTTTGATCTCAAATTTGGGTTAATTAGAGCCAAGTGTAGAATGCTTATGACCTGCCAGGAACTCCAAAACCCCAGCTTCAAACCTTATTATAAAACACGAGAAAAGGGGTGTCTGTCCAGTATTTACCCTTCTCCCAAGCAGCTGTTTTCTTCCATTTCCTTTGGAGATGCTATTGCTGCCCCAGGCTGAATTATCAAATGGACGTGTCCTTCAATCTGGAAAGTCATCCTGATGATTGCATTTTCAAGTGCTTCATTCACTAGTGGTAGTGGGTATGAGGAAAGAGGAAAGGGCTAGGCAAGGTGGGAAGTATGTGGGAGGGAAGGGGTGGATATTCAGAGCATGAGCTTTATAGTGGCAACGTGGCCAAACTGGCTCCCAAGCTTGCTGTACTGCATCATTGTTTGACAACCACGAAGGGTGAATTCTTCAAGATCCCACACCCATCTGAGGAGGGCAAAATGCCAGCAGGGCGGATTATGAATCTCAGGGCTGAATGTGGTGTGACAGCAGCACCCACTAGAATGGTATCATACAGAAACCTCATGGGCTTTCACCCCATCAGAGCTGCTTTCACTCAAATTCCAAGTCCAAGGATTTGATGAAATACTCTGAAGGTACAGTGATACTTGGGGCTACTTGCCTTCCCAGGGGGAAAAAATACTCAGATGTATTTTTCTTCAAAATGGTATATGTTTGGAAGTAGTTTTATATTGGACATTCCTTCTCACAGCTGTTACAGCAAATTGTCCAAAATGAAAGTAAACCAAAAACCTGTTTGAGGAACCAATTACAAACTTTAATGGTACCAGCACAAAGCAAACTTGTTTCCCCAATGGAAGTCACACATCCTTTACCTTTTACTAAGTTCTCTTTCAGATCTGTGGGATATATTAAGTTTCTCACTTTCTGTACCTTATAGAGTCGTATCTGGGAAACTACGTTCTATTTTGTTTTGTGTGTGTGTGTGTGTGTGTGTGTGTGTGTGTACTTTTTAAAAATTGTTTTTATTTCTCAGGTCATCTTTTATTTTTCTTCCAATTTTATATTTCTACCACAGAAAGCAGATCAAACCTCTAGCCCATCATTGAAAATATGGTGGTGTATGTTATTTATGGTCATTCCTGTTTAGAGGAAGCAGTTTTCCTATAATTACTAATAAAGTCTAGAATCATCACCAGCAAAATAATTTATTGAAAACCCATAGCTTCATATGTGGCTCTGTGCTCAAAATATGCAATGCCAGAAACTGGGCAGGGAGAGTATATCCTAGCCAGCTGAATAGAGGATTGTATGGCAATATCTCCACAATGTATACAGGGCTACCCCTCAGTGTAATCAATTGGTTTTACTATCACTGACTATAATGCTGACCTTGACCCAGCTGACGGAACTGGGCTTATTTAGCCTGGTGAAGAAAAATCTCAGGATGAACATGAGAGCTGTCTTAAGTATGTGAAGGGCTATTACCTCGAACAGAGATTAAATTTATTCTGTTTGGCTTCAAGGGGAAGAATCAGCAAGGGGTGGAAGGTGTAAAGAGGGATTCTTTCACCATATGGGTTAGACTAGATGGGCACTAAGGTCCCTTTCAACTCCCAAATTCTATGATTCCAAGATACCTATGGAGTTCTTTGAAAGAAAGGTAATAGAAGGTCTGCTGGAAAATTAAAATTCAAAATTAGCCCTTTGCTGGAGAATCCCAAGGGGAAGTTGGGAAACATCCTGCTCCATCTTGGAGCCTCTGTTTCTTCATAAATGAAATGAGAGTATAATACCAGTACTGCCCACTTTATAGGAGTATGTTGAAGAATATCCATGAGATAGTACATATAATATTGCATAAACCATTGTAAGAAGTCATATACATATCAGCTCTTATATTAAGTTTACAAATTTAGAGCTGGGCAAGACATTAGAGGTGGTCATTTGTCAGTGATTTAATAAAATATTAAATAGTTAATAGTTAAAATATGACATGTAAGTTGAAATTAAGAGCAAATGCTTGTTGATAATACTATTAATGATAATATCTTAGATAACCCTTCTGAATTGATTTTCTTTGCCCTGTGAAGTTTAAGGATTAAATCTGACTATATTCCTATAGTTCCAGGGGACAGATAAGATTAGTCAAGGAGTCTTTCTTGCTGCTGGGCCACCCTTGGTCCTTGTGCTGGGCTTCCTGCTCCACCTCTGTCTGGATCCATCATCTACAGTATCCACCCTGAAAGGTAGGGTGTGGGTTTGTTCGAAGTAGGATAATCTTTACTTTTCATGAGGGCAAAGCAACACCCGCACCAGGCAGCCTTCTGCCATGGGTGGGAGCGTGTGCCACCCATATAATGATCACATTCTGACTTATAGTGTAGTGATTTCTGTCCATGTTTTATCCCTATACTGGATTGGAAGTTCCTTGAGGGCAGGGACTGCTTGTTTTGAATCCTTCAGCATTTAACAGAGTCTCCTGAACACAGAGGCTTCATCATAAATGCAAGGGACAATATTGTCACTGACCACAGACCATCAGACAGAGATAGTAACAGGGAAAGTGTGACCCAAAGCTGTCTTGCCTGCAACAGCCACGCCTAAACAGACAGAATATATTGAGGGTATTCATCATTACACAGGATGTGGGTTTCTTAGGGTGGGGAACTTACCTCTACATGTTTCACTCATCCTTTCTTTTCTCAGATCAAATGATATAAAATATAGAGTACTTTGCAAAGCTTGAAGCACTAAATAAGTGCTAGCTGTAATTTTTTTTAATCAGTTGTATGTCTAAGGCTTTCAATGGTCTTTCTGTTTGTGTGCATGTACACACGAACATTCCCCTCACTCCATACCTAACACCAATTATTTCCTCTGCTCTAACTGCTAATATAAAATTCTCCTAATTTTCTTTCTGCCCTAATCTCACGAATCCTTGATCCTTCTTCTTGCTTTTGTTAACACTAACTGTAATCTGAGATCTTTGCAACACATCTGAAAAGCCTAGCTTCCAGAAAAAAAACAAAAAACTTTGTATAATGCCTATAACACAAACATGATAACACCCTCAAGGCAGCTCCAAACCTGTAAGGGAAGGGAATGGGAGGAAATGAATATTTATATAGCACCTACTATGTGCCAAGTACTTTACAAATATTTGATTCTCTGAGGAAGGTACTGTTGTGATCCTCATTTTGTAAAAATAATAATAATGATAGTTAACATTTATATAATGCTTACTATGTGCTAGGTACTGTACTAAATACAGTTATTATCTCATTTGATCCACACAACCATCCTGGGAGATAGGTACTATTATGATCTCTATTTTATAGTTGAGGAAACTGAGGCAGATACAGGTTAAGTGACTTGCCAGGGTTACAGAACTTGTATGAAGCTGGTTTTGAACTTCTCTTCCTGACTTCAGGCTCAGGGCTAATTAATTCACTGGGCCTCTTAGCTGCTTGCAAGATCCTAACCACACAGAGGAACATTCTTTTCTCCATAGATAGACAAAGCCTATGAAAAATAAAATATTTTCTCATACAGTAGAAATCAATGTCAAGATTCTGTCAAGTGGTTAAATGTAGTTTTTCTTTGAATTCTGCCATAAAGATGTGAGCATATGGAACTGGTGATTTGTGCATATGGAACTGGTGATGTTTCTGATTGCATTGGAAAGCCCCTGAAACTCCCAAACTTGTGACTCTTTCTTTTCTTTTTTTTTTTTTTGGTATGAAAACAGACATGTTGGTTATAAGAAAGAAATCCGTCACTTACCTCTAAAACTTTCCCTGTGATGAACTGGTGACAAGCTTCACATTTGACACCAAAGAGCCCCTGATAGTCCTTTTCACAGTAAGGAGCTCCATCCCTGTAGAAGAAAGTCCAAGCAGTGTGAATCTACTTCCCATTTCCTTAAAAAACCTGCCCTGTAGATTGTGTGAAGCTAGCCCTGCAGGAATCCAGAGCTTGTAGCAAATAGAAAAGGAAACCCATCCCCCCACATACACTTCTATATATAATATTAAGAATAGTTTTTGTTCCTTGAGAACACATGAGGATACCAGAGTCACACACCCAAGACCCCCAGAGGAGTCAGAGAGAATATAGTATCCTCAGCCACACATCTATAACCAAGCAGCTTAAGGTCAGTAAAGTCTATACTTATGATTTAACTAACAAGCATTACTGCCCATCATCAGTGGAAGCTTGTGTTCATAATGTATGCACATAGAAATTCATTCCAACTGCAGAGCCAAAAAGGGTCCCTAGTTGCTCTTTCTCATCACAACCTTTCTGGGCAGGAAGTATATGATTGCTGACCCTACTATCTTCCTTTGATGTGGCAACAGCTTCTATGGCCCAGCCCCCCTCAATAAATTCAAAACCTGAGAACCAGAGCCAGGAACTAAGTGAAACACCCAGGGCTCTTTCATTCCTGGGTCTACTCCATGCTCCTCTTCTTTGTTTGGTATCTCCATGACCTTCAGAGGCCTTGTGTAAATTATTTAAAGGCAGGGGTCATGTCTTATCTTGTATTTCTTCCCCATCCCCCATCTATCAGAGTGCATTGCACACAATAGATATTTAATAAACATTAGTAGAATAAATGAATGAATGGTGAAATAGGGAAGTCCAGGGCTCTCTAATTATGGAACCTCCAACTGATCCTGGTCTCCTTGTCAGATCCTTAGACCTTTCTTTTCCATAGTGCCTCGAATATAGTAGACCCTTAATTTGTTGAATGAAATATTTTAATATCTTCTTTTCTATGCCTCCAACCCCAGCCCCGTCCCAATAAAAACATGCCTGTTGTGGACCCATTCTCCATAAACCTCATAGACCCTGCTTTATGTTAGTTAATATTTTAAAGGATATTTTACATTTTTTAAAAAACCCTACAAACTATGCAAGGATTCATGTTTTCACATAAAATTCCTTTTCTGGTTCTATTTTATATATGGAAAAGTCCATTTCTTTGTTAAGTTCAGAATAAAATGATATTAAAACATACAAGGCAAAAATACTCAAATAGGGTGGAGTATGACTCTAGGTAGGTAGCTTAAACTCTCAGTGCTCCAGGCAAACTCTCCACAAATTTCAGAGAAGGTGCTGACTTTCTCATATCAATGAAATCATAGGTCTAGTCTCTATTCCTTCAGTTACTTTTACTGGGAAGAACCACCTTGATGAAATAATTCTTGCTAAAATATTAATGACTGATTAAGCCTTACTGTGCTACTCTTCCCCTCCCAGATGATTTATTTGTGTTTCAACAGAAGCCCTTAGAGACTCAAGACAAATTCTAGCTCTGTTTAGGCCAGTAGGACAGTTGTTTCTGGGCAGGGAGCTGCTTCCTAAGCATTTCTCAAATCCTACCACATGGGCAAGTGCTTTCTGTGTCTATGTATAAGACTAGGCCTGCTAAGACACATCCCCAAGACCTGTGATGGGGAAGACTTATGGTGTGGTACAAAAAGGAGTGGATTTGAAATCAGGATCCAAGGGTTCTAACCCTGCCTCTGCCAATCATTCTGTGACTGTGGGCAAGTCATTCACCTGCACCACAAGTTCCAGATGCAAAAATATGTAAAATGTAGTAACACTCGCTATTACCTATACAAGGCTGTTTAAAAGAAAGCATCTTGCATATCTTTTCCAAAAATTATATAAATATAAGTAATCTGACCATGTCATATATTCCCTATTTAATCAACTTCAGTGGCTCCCTATGACCTCCAGGATCATGTGTAGAATCTTTTTTTTTTTTTTTTGGCTTTTATATACCTTCATAATATGGCCTTTACAGTCTTCCTACAACTTACTCCCCTCCACCTTGTCCACAATCCAGAGACACTGATTTCCTTATCATTCCTTGAATAAGACATTCCATCTCTCAACTCTCCCATGCCTAGAATTATCTCCCTCTTCATCTCCACCTTCTGGTTTCTCTGACTTCCTTTAAGACTCAGCTAAAGTCCCACTTGATGCAAGAAAACCCCAGTCTTCCTTAATCTCTGTGTCTTCCCTTCCCTTTCTCACATATAGATATAGATATAGCTTGTACATGGTTGCATATTGTCTCCCTTGTTAGACTTTGAGATCTGAGAGCAGGGACTGGTTTTTGCCTTTCTTTGTAGCCCTACTGCTTACCTCAGTGCCTTGAATGTTGTAGGGCCTCAATAAATGCTTTGTTGATTTAACCCATAATCTCCAGATTCTAAATAGGACTGGCCTTCCTTGCCTAACTCAATTATAAGGCGACATTACAAGGTGTTCGCTACTAATCTGGGATATTTGAGAAAGTTGGGGCATGAACGTGGGTTCACAGAATCATAGGTTTAGAGGTGGGAGGGATTGTAGAGGCCATGCAAAATCTCCTCATTTTACAGATGAGGAAACGGATACAGAGAGGGATTAAGTGACTTGCCTTTCGCCTATTGACACAGCTAATATCTGAGATGAGATCTGAACTCAGGTTGTCCTGACTCCAAGTCCAGGACCCTATGTAGGACACCACCCAGGACACCATGCCGCCTCAGTGAGGATGAGTGTACTTCTTGCTGGATTTCATTCATTAAGTGCCTACTGTCAACCACTGAGAGCATTTGGTTTTGTTATCCACTCTTAATTCTATATTCCATATAGTGAGAGATTTCTTACTTGCTGATGTATTCCCCGGTGAGGACTTTCCCGCAGGATTTGCACTTAAAACACCCCAGGTGCCATTGCTTATCCAGAGCCAGCAGTGCCTGCCCATTCTTTATGTCTCTGCCACAGCCAGCACAATCTGGAAAACAGCAACCAACAAAGAACGGCATGTTTGTTGTATAAAACCCAAGCCTGGAAGGAAGGCAATGAGTGAACACCTTGTGGGATGCTTAAAACTACTATTTATTTCAAATGAAACTCCATGTAGAGAAAGGACTTTTGGGGAAGAGAAACTTTAGAGACTACATAAGGTAAGATTCCAAATGACTGATAATTAGAGAAATGCAAATTAAATGCACATGAAAACAACTGAGGCTCCGCATCTATTTGGCAAAGATGACAAAAAATGGAAAGATGACATTTATTGGTGGGTCTATGGAAAAGCAGGTATACTGACATACTGCTGTAGGAGCTGTGGATTGGACCAGCCATTCTGGAAAGCAATTTGGAACTATGCCCCCAGAGTCACTAAATTGTGCATAACCATAACACAGTGATGCCATGGCTCGACCCAAAGAAATCACAGAAAGAGGAAAAGGACCTATCTGTACAACAAAATTTGTGGTAGCTCTTTTTATTTAATGTAGCAAAGGATTGGAGACTTAGTGGGTATCCATCAACTGGGAAATGGCTAAACAAATAGGATATAGGAATATAATAGAATATTATTGTGCCATAAGAAATGATGAAAGGGACAGTTTTAAGTAAATAAGGAAAGATTTGTATGAACTGATGCAGAGTGAAATGAGTAAAACCAAGACAACACTTCACATAGTAATAAAAAATTGAAAAGAAAACCAACTTTGAAAGACTTAAAAACTCTGATCAAAGTAATGACAATCCATGGCTCCAGAGGGCTGATTAACACATACTTTCCAACTGCTGACAGTGGACAAATGGTCTCAAGATACAGAACGAAACACTTACTTATTTTTGGACATAACCACTGTGTGAATTTGTGTTGCTTGAATATACATATTTATTATAAGGATTGTGCTTTTCTCTTCTTAAAGCGGGGAGGGTACAGGGATATTGGTGGGTCAAAAAAAACATAAAAGAAAGAAATGTACAACATTGAAACATTAAAAAAATAAATGCACAGAATAAAACAGAAGTTCAGAAGAAAACTCAGACAAGCAGGACAGCTCTGTAAATAACTGAATTTATTACAAACTTTTAAATAGCAAACTTTACATAATAGAAATTCATGGTTTCATGGATAATCTTCCTATTTTACTTTATAGAAATTTTCTTGTTTTTGTTTCTTGCTGTTTAAGTTCAGAATTAAAAAAATTGAAAGGCAGGAATGTCCATGATGCAATTCTAGTCCAGCTCTGTGAAAACTTCTCTGACCTTCCCAGCTTCCCAAGAGAGTTAACTTCTCCGTTCGGAGTCAGCTAGGTGGAACAGTGGGTAGAGTGTTGGGCCTAGAATCAGGAAGGCCTGAATTCAAATCTGGCCTCATAAACTTACTAGGTGTGTGATCCTGGGTAAGTCACTTAATCTTTGTCTGCCTCAATTTCCTGAACTGTAAAATGGGGGTAATAATAACACCTACCTCTCAGGAGACTGTTGTTAGGATCAAATGAGATGATATTCGTAAAACACTTAACACAGCACCTACTGATTAATAAATGCTTAATCCCTTCCATTCTAAATTCTTAAAGATTTTGATGCATGAACATTTTTTCATTTCATCAGGTACTATCTCATGTTGCTTAGTTATTTTACATGCACATGGAGTCTTGCTCCAGCAGTTCTTCTTGGCATAGAGATAATCCTGGATTCTTGGAACATTATGCCAGCAGGCTGTAAGGCCTATATTGGAAAGCTTTCATCTATAGGCTTCACAATGGCCTTAGAATTTGCTAGGCCCACACCAGAATACTGGCTACAAGGTGATGTATTTTTTCAGTCCTAGTTACTTAGGAGACACTCTTCTAAGGCATAGAAGAATTGTAACTTGCTTTGGTATAAAATATATCTGTCCCACTGAGACTATGCATCCCTGAGGTTTTGAAGCCAATATGATAGAACATGAAAGTTCTTAATCTTTCTTAGGTCATGGACCCCTTTGTCAGTCTGGTGAAGTCTATGGGGTGGGCTTTTTTCAGAATAGTGTTTTTAAGTGCATAAAATTAAATAACATGGTATTGCAAAGGAAATCAATTATATTGAAATAAAGTTACCAAAATATTTTTTTAAAATTAATTCTCCGTATATTCTTGGTATAGTGAAAAGATCCCTGGATGTGCAGTCAACAGCTAGCTGTATGCCCTTGAACCCGTTATATAACCTCTGTGAACTTCAATTACTTCACTTTTAAAACAATTATAATGATACTTGCTCTATTTACTTTACATGGTTGTTGCAAGGTCCAAACGAATATGAATGCTCTAACCTACCTACTCCACCTTATTTCACACTGATTTGTCTTCGACACTGTAACTTCCAGACACAATACCTGTTTCCCAAGCTCCTTCTTTCCTTTCTTCTCGCCTGGCATTTCTCCAGCCCATACTCCAAACCTGCCACTGACTCCTTCCACATCTCTACTGTATCTGTTACCATCTTTCTTCCTTCAAGGCCTAGTGCAAGTACTACTTCCTCCACAAAACCTTCTATGATTCCCTCATTGTTCTATGTTGAATCAATCTTATACACTCATAATGTCCAAACCAGAATTAGTTATTTACATACATTTCATCCCCTAGAATAAAAGTTGTTAAGCTCCTTGAGGACAAGAACTAAAAGATTTCCCATTTTTGTATTTATACTCCTCCTTTTATTATACTATAGCTTCTCAGTAAATACTGAGGGATGGAGCAGAGGGGATAAGCATCTTCACAGCACCTGCTTTGAGCCAGGCATTGTGCTAAGTGCTTTCCAAATATTATCTCCTTTGATCCTCACAACAACCCTGATAAGCAGGTACTTTTATTATTCCTATTTTACAGGTGAGAAAAGGAAGCAAAAAGAAGTTAAGTGAGTTCTCAGAATCACACAGCTAGTAAGTGTCCAAAGCTGGATTTGAACTCAGATCCTCCTGACTCTGGGCCCAGTGCTCTATCTACTCTACCACCTAACTGCCTATGACCAATCACATTGGATGATGCATCTATTACTCACAAATAGCTATCTAATTTGATACTTGGTGCAATTTTGTTCAATTTAGGCCATATATAATGACTCATTTACAGTGGTTTATGGTTTGCAAATTGTTTTCTTCCCAATCACCCTATGAGGCACCTAGTATAGGAATTCATATTTAACGGAAGAGGAGACTGAGGCTTTGTGAAGTCAAGTAGGTTGAATCAAAAAGCATTTATTAAGTACCTGCTATGTGCCAGAAACCATGTTAAGTAGTGGTATTAATAGTAGTCGTCCCTCACACTCAAAGAGGACCAAAACAGCATCATGATGTTGGGGTCAAAGTACAGTGTGGCTGATCAGACCAACACAAGCTTAGAAGGCTCTACCACAGGTTGGGCACAAGTAGTCTGAACATTTGGGAAGGAAAAGTCTCTACATTTGTACATCTCACATTTCTTTTGATCTAAGTACTAGGGATACAAAGGAAGGCAAAAAACAGTTCCTGCTCTCAGGGAGCTCACAGTCTAACGGAGGAGACAACACATATATAACTATGCACAAACTGAACATATACAGGAGAAACTGGAGACAATTTCAGAGGGAAGGCGCTAAGATTATGGAGGACTTGGAAAGGTTTTCTGTTGCAGGTGGGATCTTAGCTGAGAGATGAAGGAAGCCAGGGTAGCCACAAGGTGGAAGGAAGTGAGAATGGAAAGAGTTCCAGACATGGGACACAGCTAGAGAAAATGCTTGGAGTGAGGAAATGGATCTTATAGTTCACTAGATTACAGAGCACAGTGGAAGGGAGAAAGGTGTAAGAAGTCCGTAAAGGTAGGAAGGGGCCAGGTTATGAAGGAGTTTAAAAGCCAAGCAGAATATTTTATATTTGATCTTGAAAGTGATAGAGGGTCAATGGAGCTTACTGAGTAAGGGTGTGTGTGTGTGTGACATGGTCAGACATGAAATTCAGGAACATCACTCTGACAGCTTATGGAAGATGGATGGGAGTAGGGAGAGGCTTGGAAGGGAGACCAAGCAGCAGGCTGCTGCAGTAGTCCAAGTGTGAGGCGATGATGAGGTTAATTACCTTGTCCTTTTCTCCATAGGTAGTGAGTGTCTGAGGCAGGACTCAAACAAAGGTTAAGGTCAAGCTCGTAGGAAAAAAAAAATTCTAAAGTCCCAATAAGCACATTTATGCAAAATCACTGGACTTAATGATGACAAAGGGTCATTACATAATTCTCTCCCCTTTCAATCATGCAGATTTCTCCTGCAAATACTCAAATGGATCTCTGATTTTGTTGAAATGGGGAATTCCCTCTGATGATACAGATTGCAACTCATGCCTGATTCTTGTCTCATAAGAGGGTCCATCCAAAATGCCGGTCTTCTTCAAATTCTCCTGACATTGTGAGGATACCAATGGAGTATGCAAGGTGTCCATCTGTTTTCCCTAACTTGCTGTGTGATTCCAACTTCTTTGTTGATCACTCACTTTTTTTATTGGATATAATCCAGAAGAACTGGTCCAGACTCTATCCTCCACAAGTTGACTTCCTAGAACTAATGGGCCTTATGGGAATGGAATGGTCTTCATTTAATTATTTCCTTGGAGGTTACTTTAAAATCTCATACTTCATTTCCTATAATTGTCCCATTTCTGGTGAGGCCAGAATATAATATAAAGATACTTTGTTAAGTTCTATGGCATGGAAAGATGAGCGAAGACATAGTCCTTGCCCTCAAAATGTTTACAATGTAGTCTATCAATTTAACAAAACTTTATCAAGCACACAATATACAAAGTAGTGTCCTAGGTGTGAATGAAAAAATAACTGCAATGAAACAAAGTAAGGTTAATTTCTTAATTCAAAGGATCACCTCCTAAATTATATATTTTGTACATTTGTTTGGTATATCAGGTTTTAAACAGGGTCTGTTCCCCAACAGTCATAGCAGCAGTTTTTAAAACAAATTTTGCATGAA